GAGACAGAGAGACAGAAAGTGAGAAATCACCCCTTAGGGGGGATGGCCACACTGCAATCCCTTTTCTTCCATTCTCCTCATGGGATCTTGGGCACAGGTGTGAGTTTAAACCACCGGGTCCAGAACTCGAACTGTGGTCGACTACATGGGAGTCTAGTGACATAGCCATTACACCAACTGCTGGTCCCCACACAACATGTTTTACTGAGTACCTATTATGTAGCAAGTATTATTCTACATTTCGTGAGTACAGAAGAGGAGAGATAACACACACATGGAATAAAAGGAAGATATTAATGATGTTGAGTAGAACAGGAATTTGATAATCTTTTTACATTAGCAATTCCCATATGTGTTCCTCAGACATTTCAGAGGCTTCTGAGACTTGTTTAGGGTTTTGGAAGGCAAGATTAAAACCATTTTCTGGGACCAGCAGTTAGTGTAATGGCTATGTTGCTGAACTCCCATGTAGTCGACCACGGTTTGAGTCCCGGACCTAGTGGTTTAAACTCACGCCGGGCACATATGCGTGTATGTCCAAGATCCCAAGGGGAGAATGGAGGAGAAGGGATTGCAGTATGGCCATCCCCCCTGGGGGGTGATTTCTCGCTTTCTATTTCTCTGTCTCTCTCTGTCTTTCTGGCAAGCACACGCGCCCAATAGCAAAAACCTCTACAAAAAAAATCCTAAAGTTGGCTGCTTATTTGACTTTTCTTAAATATTCCACATATAGCACTTCTACAACATCACTCACAATCCAACATTACTGATAGGAGACCCTGGTGGGGAGTCTGAATGTGCTAGCAAGATTACCCAAAAAACTAATAAAATCTTTGTAATCCTTTTCAAGGATGCAGAGAGGAAAATGGCAGCATTTCAAATTCATGGCATTTCAAAGACATGAATTAAGCTCTAAGTTCTACATTTGGAAAAAAAAAAAAACCAACACAAGTCCCTAATTTATGTTCTAAACTGAGAAAACAAATTGTCGCTAAGAAATGAAATTTCCGAAAAATATTCAAATTTGTTTCTTAAACACACTTTCTAGTTGATATATACATACTTAAATCTATGAACTATACCAAAATATAAATTAGAAGAATCACTGCCATTGAACTTGGTTGATACAACTTCACCATGAAATCTGGAATCACTTTTTGGTTTGGTTAATTTTATTCCTAGACATTCTGCCTTTTAGATATGTATAAAGCTGATCATATGTAGATGATGTTGACACAATACTACTGTGAAAATGTCTGAGAAAGCACATTGCTTCTTTTTCTCCTTATTTCACATATCTTAGGTAAGAGGGCTTCCTCGTAACATTCCAGTACCTCAGCTCCTATGTGTCTATACTCCATCCCTCCTCCTGGCCATCATCAACAGTTCTTGTTCCTCAACTACAGTCTGGCCTAGAGCTACCAGGGTCCTTTTCTCTTTTAAGGCAGCCATCTTTCTGGAAGACTCATCAGTAATCCATTCAGTAAACTTGTCTTTTAATCCCACAACTTCCTCTATCCACTCCAGTCATCCTGTCCTTGCCCAGAGCTTCTCTACCTCTCATTAGTAAAGCCTGCCCTCCCTGCTCTCCTTAGCCACCCACTATATCTGCCTCTTCCTCTACCAAGAATCCCACTCCCCCATCTGTCCCCTCATCCTTGCTTATCTTCCTCTTGGTGGACTACCACTTCTGCCTTTCTTGTCAGTATCTCTAAATCCCTTCCTTGTCTCTCTCATACAACAAAACCCAGCCCTGGATCAGCCTCATTAATAGCTTTCTCTATGCCTGTCTCAGGATCAATGGAAGGGAGAAAGCTCTCCACTCCACGTCTCACCTGGACATACCACACTCAGTTCAAACTCATCTTCTTCTCTGCCTGCCTAAACTTCTTTTACTATTCTATGTCTCAGGGGTGAGTATCACCATCCATCCACCATCAATCCATTCACCTAGTCATCAAAGGCAGAAATCTGGGTATCCTCTTTGATTTGCTACTCACCTCCATACCCTCATGATCCCCATAAGCCCATGGTCTCCATTCTCACTAGGCCCTCACCACTGTCCTGCAGCCTCTGTGGGTCACTATCAGCTTTCCCACCTCTTTTCTGCAGCAGTCACCTTTCCCATTTCTTCAAATTTCCCAGTCCATCTTACCTCCTCACACTAAATACATATCCTTGCTTCCAACATGAAAAGAGAAGTAATAGCCATCAAGAATGAACTCACTCAATTTCCTGAGCCCACCTCCCAACTACCTACCTACCTATCCATGATGATGATGTTGACACAATACTACTGTGAAAATGTCTGAGAAAGGACATTGCTTCTTTGTCTCCTTATTTCACATATCTTAGGTAAGAGGGCTTCCTCGTAACATTCCAGTGTCACCAGTTCTTCCCATCTTTCTTCCCTCCCAGCTTAGAGGAAAAGTGGGTCCTCCTTTTGCCTGAGGTTCACCCTGTACCCCAACATGTTCCACTCTCTTGCTGATATCACCTCATCTTTCAATACCTTTTTGTCCCTTATCTTCAGTTAGTCCTCTACTGGCTTTTCTCCATCAGCATTTTCAAATGTCCTAATTTCTCCCAAATTGAAACAAAGTTTTTCCTCAATATTACATCCTTTCAGGTCTCTCTCCTCGCCCTCAAAACCAATTTGCTCAATGGTTGTTCACATCACTTCCATTTACTCAGTCTTCTCTCCCTACTACTGTACTCAACCTCCTCTCTCCAAGCTTAAGTGACCTCTCTGTTGCTACATTTGGTGTTTGTTTTTTCAGCTCTTGGCTTATTTGACCTTTCTGCATCATGTCACCCACTTCCTCGTTCTGACTTCTGTAGTACACCATTTGATGGTTTTCTTCCCACCTTTCTGGCTGTTATCTTTTCTCTTAGGGTCCTTCCTCTTCCTCTACTTGTCCCCTTTATGTTGGTATTTCCCAAGGGATTTCGTTCTTCTCTTTGACCCTCTCTAGTAAAAGATTTCATTCATTTCCATGGCTTCATTTATAATCTAGTTGCTGATAACTTGATAATTTATAACTATTTCCAGACCAGATCTCTATCATTAGAGATCCAAACCACCTACTAGATATCTTACCTGGATATACCACACTCAATTCAAACACACCTCCTTGACTAAACCTACTCCTTTACTATTCTGTATCTTGAGGGAAAGCACCACCATCCGTCAACCTAGTTACTCACCTGGGCATCATTTGTCATTTTCCTCCACACCCTCAGCTCCCTACTCACTAAGTCCTCTGAATACTTATATTACCTCCTTAATGTATCTCGTACCCTTTCCCTCTTTTCTATCTACTGCACTGGATCACTGCAGAAACTTCCCAATTCACACCCCAGTCTCATTTTCTGCTCATCATTCTGTGCACAGCCTCTAGACCTTTTCCAAAAAAAATCTCCCTAAAAGCATTCATTATCTTAAGAATAAAGTTATATCCTCAGTTTCATACACTAGCCACTTCAGGACCCAGTCCTGGTCAATCACTCCAACTCCTTAGTGTCTAAGACTTTGTATTCTGGTTAATTCCCTCTTTACTTAATTAGAAGACCTCTGGAACTCCACTGAGACCTTTTTTTTTCTCCTCTAAGAAGGGAGGAGGCTAGCATAATGTTTCCCTGGAAATCTTCATAATTCTTGCTTCTAAGCATCTCGAATTCCATTCATTCCTTTAGGGTTCTGTGTCCTAAAACCACCTCTAAAAAATGACAAACTATATCAAGCATTTTCTCACATGAATCAGGCATTTTAACTCATTTAATCCTTATGACTCTGAGGTGCACAACATTTCCATTTCACAAATGAGAAAACAGACCCAGAAAAAGTGACAATTAAATAACCTAACCAAAGTCATACAACTAATAAAAGAGGGAACAAAGGGGCCAGCCAGGGCCTGGTGGTTAAGGGCACTGGATTCGAAGTTGGCGACTGTGAGGCACACATGCATTGTATATACATCCCCCATATCCCAGCAGAGTGGAGAAACTGAGAATAGATTATGGCATGACTATTCCCCACGAGGGGTGCTTTCTGTCTCTCCTTTCCCTCTCTCTCTCTTCCTCTGGCTAGCGCATGCACCTTCGGCATTTTTTTTTTTTTAAAGAGAGAGGGAATAGAGATTAGAACCTAGATTACTCAAAACATTACCTCCATTGTTTATTCATAGTCAAACCAATTTTTGATAATCCAAGATGAAAAATGTGGAAATCAACTGGCATTTGTTAAGTGTTTAACATTTATGAAGCGCTTTACATAAGGCATTTTATTTATCCCTTACATGTTCAAATAAGCAAACTGAAGATCCAAGTAGGTAGTTTGTGCAGGGTCACATAGCTAGTAAAACAGTTTGAATGCCCCCACCCCCACCCTTCTTAGCTGCTCCCTAACACCAATAAACAGCATTTTACAACTAAAGAAGCAGGTCCAGCCCAGGATCACAAGTCTAATCAGAGGCAAAGTCAGGATTAGAACTCAGGATTCCTGACTCTGCTTGGCTAGGTATTTGCTATTTTAGTCCCTACATGCTTGGAGAATTGTGGAGCTCTTTTTCTTGTTTGTAACAACTTCCTGGAAACTAGCACAAATCCTTGGTTTCCTCCCAAGGATTTCAGCTCTGGTTCCAGGTGCGTTTCTTTGGTTAGCCCTGAAATTCTGATGCTGATACTCTGCCGATAGCCACCTTGTGGCATATTCCCCCTACTCGCTTTCCCAGCAGTCTCTGTTCTGACTGCATCCACAGAATTAGGCACTGGTTTCAGCACACATCCCATTTCCCCCTGCCTCCTTACAGTCCTCTCATCTTCAGTAATGAGGCTCCATCTGTTCACCCAGTTCCAACTGCCTTCCCTCATGGTTCAGCTAGGATCAAAAGCCCTCTGTCATGTCTCTTCGAAGTCCTGTTTATTTTTTCCCAAATGCCACCCATTTTATTCATTCCCCCATTCTAGTCTTCCCTCTCTAGATGTTACTAACTCAAAGGTAAGAGGATTGTTTTCTCTCAGGCTCATCTCCTTGATTTCAATTAGGTTCAGGGTAATAGTTCCCCTGGGTACTTCCTTTTTGGCTACAAATTAGTCACTTCCACATATTAAGGCATTCTCCCCAGAATTGCTTCAGCTGACAGACACCCAAGGCATCTGGTGGCATGCAAATGAAACATATGTGGGGTTAATTGGACCATCTAACCAACACCAGACCCTTTAGTGGGAGAAAGATTCAGGAAAGATGCTACCTCATCCTCACCAAAGGTGGAGCCTCGCCACTGAGGCACTATAATGCAGAGCAGAGGGTTGAAAGACAGGTAAGAACCTCAGACTGTCTCTACTTCATAACTACCAGGAGCAGAACATTTTTCCCAGAAAGGGAGTGGGAGGTAGGGCATTTAGGCACAGGAAGGAGTAGGGCCAACAGCTAGAAATAGAGGAACATGAAGAACTGATGACATTTAAGGGAGAACTGACATGAATAATAGGCATGAGTCTATCAATCCCTAGTATCACAGGACTGGGGGACCTCAAAGCATTCAGGCGAAATTCCAACCCACTGCAGGACTGACAAACATTTCTTCAAGGGGGCTGGCATATCTGTAGCAATGGGAAATGCCCAACCTTAGGAAATCAGGATTTTGGAAGTGTATGTGATGATGAAGTTCAATTAAACGTGTGTTTTGTTTGTTTGTTTTGCTATAGGATGCATGCACTTACCACAGAGAGAGAGAGAGAGAGAGAGAAAATAAGAACTCACCCTCCAGGGGTTATGACCATGCTGCAATGCCTTCTCCACCATTCTCCTCTTATGATTTCAGGTGTGCTCACACAAGCACCAGACATGATTTTCAAGCCACTAGGTCAGGGATTTAAATCACCCAGGCAGCCGTGTGGGATCTAGAGATATTAACCTCCATGTCACCTGCGGGCACTAGACTTCATTTTTGCTACAACAAATATCTAGATGTCAATATCTACTTAGTATCTACTATGTGCCAAACATGATAGGCATTGGACTGTAAGTACGAATAATATAGACATGGCTCTTGCTCCTGTGGATTTTACAATCTAATGAGGAAGATGGGTAAATACGCAAGTAGAATAAGGGAAGTAGAAGATGCTATTCAAACACGGGGTGGGGTGGGGTGGGGAAATCTAACACAGCAGAGCATCTGGAAAGTCTTCACAAAGCAGCCAGCCTCTAGGCTGGGCCTTGAAGAGTGCTAGGGAGTTAGCCGAATGCAGGGTGGAGAAGCCCACGACAATGAGAGAAAAAGGAGGCTTTAGGCGTGCCAGCTTCCAAAGAAGTTCAGAATGTTGCAAGAAGAAGGTGGAATACAGATCTTAAAGAGACTTTCCAGCACGCTGAGGAGTGTGGGCTTACCACTGCAGGCAAAAAGCCTGTGGATGGTTTTAAGCAGAGAAGCGCCCTCTGGCTGCTCTGGGGAGAGATTTTGCGGTATTCTGGGGGTGGCGTAAAGGAGGCCAAAACCTAGGGTGGGAGAACGGGATGGGCAGGCCTGGGTAACCCCAGGTATGTGACTTAAAAGAAAGTGCTCCTCGATGACAAGATTGGGACAAAAATAAAGAAATAAAGTTCGGAATGCGGTGAGAAGGTCTCCTCTATCCTCCCTCACCTTTGCTGAGCAGGAACCAAAGCAGCTCATCTACGGTTTGCCCCATCACTGCCGTGTGTGGGTGTGAGGACGACTCCTTGCCCTCTTCCCAGATAGGAAAACTGAGGCCCAGGTTCCCAGGTGGGAATCTATGAGGAAAAATAATCGAAATTGACTCCTCAGAGGCTGCTCGAGGTCACGCAAGATCCTTCGACGGTCCAGCGGCCTGCCTCATTTTTCTGCCAGCCACCCCCAATGGGCCTTCTTTGCTATGGAAACGGTCCTCCCGCACTCCTCCGCGCCCATGTTTCTTCAGCGCACCCTGGGAAATGCAGTCCATATCTGCTTGTCTGCCCGTGGCGTGAGCCCACTCCGCGGTCTTGAAGGACTACAAGTTCCAGAAGGCCTTGCGAAAAACTCCGGCGGTCCCTGGGGAATGTGGTCTTGACAGAGACACCCAGAAACCTGAGGGCGGGGCCGGAGGAAAGAGCCCAACACTCCCCAATGGGCAGCCTCCTGGGCGGGGCCCGGGTAGCCATTGGCGGCCCCGGGGAGGCGGGGTCAGCGGAATGAGGCGCGGAGCTGTTCGCCGCTCCAGGTGCTGAGTCCGAGGGAGACTCGGAACGCGAGAGCCGCGGTCTCTGCCGCCGCAGCCGCGGCGAGAGCTGTCACCTGGAAGCCGGGGCGGTGAGGAACCGGGAGGAGCTGGGTGCGCTGGCGGGCGCTGACCGCCTTCCCGCCCGCCGTCTGAGGTAAGTGCTGCAGGATTCGCTTTTGTTTTTTTTTGGGAAGGGGATGGACTGAGGCGTGCGCTAGGGGAACTGGGGAGTGGATGGGACGTGTCCTTACCGCTCTCGAGACTATCTGTCCCGGAGCGCTGCCGGCTGACTCCAGGCCTCCCCGTAGCCCGGCGCCCGAGGAAGGAGCAGTTCACGTTAGTTTTTGCTTTGTGGTGGAGGGGGCTCTTGAGTGTGGGGGGCGCCCATCCCCACCCATCTTTCTTGAGGGAGGGTGGAACGCTTGGAGCCTCCCTCCGACGCCTGAAGTGGAAGATGCTCGGATTGTTGAGGATGCAAGGGGGTGTTCTGGGATGAGAGGCTTGGAGGAGCCTCGGCGGCCGGAGGTTACAAAGGAGTCTGGATGTGATGGGTGAGACCGCGGCACTTCGCTGGGCTCGGAGCCCCCTGGGTTATTGAGGAAGGGCTGTTCGGGACGTAAGGAAGAGCCTTCCCACGCCTCCCACACACACCCTAGGTTTTTGTGAAGAGGGTTTTGAGCATACGGGTGGAGACGGGGGACTCCCCCCTCACTTGGATCGTCCTAGGTTATTGGGGTGGGAGAACTGGGCTGTGAGGGAGAAAGGCTAGCACACCCCTCCCCACCCTGCTCATAGTCGCCCACAAAGGATAACACGCACGGATGCCCGAGTTCCTGGGCTCCGCTCGAGTCTAAGGTCGGAGCAGCCTGGGTATAGGAGTGGGGTGGGAGAGAAAAGAGGGGCCGAGGGACCCTCCCCGCATCTTTGGACCCAGCCCTTCTCCCTGTCCCTCTTTGCATGGATCCAGGCCTGAGGCCACAAGTCGAGACGACCCTCCCTGCCCCGCCACGCCCCAGAGACTGGAGCTCTGAACCGCGGCGGGGGGGCCAGCCCTAGACTGGCACGTGCAGGGGAGGACAGGGCGGGTCTCCTTTCAAGACACCTCCGAGCTCTGGCAGACGCTCCCCAGTGCCTGCGAATCCTCTGGGGCGGCTCCGCTCCGCGGGGGGCACGTCCTAAATCCAGCCGCGGGGACCTGCAGCTCAGGCGTGCCTCGGCCGCTCCCCGGCGCGGGGCTTTCGAGCTCAGCCCAAGCACCCACCGGAGGACAAAGCGGTGGTCGCTGCACTGGCGGACCTGCGCCGCGGGTTGGGCTGGGGGCGCGGCCCGGGAGGGGGAGCCTAGGGTGCGGTGTGGGTAGCCTCCACGGGAACGTGCCAGGAACCCGGCGGTAGACAAAGCGCGCTCGCTCCTCGCGTGCCCGCGCGAGTCAGGATGGAAAATCCCGAGGGAGGAGGCGGCTGCGCCCGGGCAGGGCACTATGCCTCACACCCTTCCTTCTCTTTTCTCGTACTCCCGCCCTCTGCTCCCACCTGCCGGGTCCCCAGTATGCAGTGTTCGTGATGGCGACCAGGGCCCCCTGGTTTTGGGGGGGGCGGCGGCATTCAGGTTCTTTGACCACGGGGACACGGACAAGCAGAGGCTCTGTTTTGAGGGAGGGGACTAAGGTTAGGGGGACGAATGGGCCAAAGTCTGGAGAGGCATCCTAACTGGACACCCCACGCCCCATCAGCCATGTTAGGTCAAATTTGGTTCTGGGGCTGAGGAAGTGTTTAAGTGTGTGTGTGTATGTGTGTTAGTGTGAATGTGAATGTGTGTGACTGAGTGAATGTGATTGTGTGCACCAGTGTTTCTGTGCTGGGCTTGTGCACCTGTGTGTAAGAACCACTTAACTGCTGGGCTTTGATGTTTGATGTTCGGGGGTGCAGAGTAGTTGCCTCTTTAACTCTTAAACCACAGTAATGACCTAGGTCTGAGTGAATTACCTTCAGGGTGGAGGCAGCTTTAGACTGCCTTGGGTTTAGCCTGCATGCCTGGGTGGAGTCATCTTCAGCCCTTCTGGGATCTCATTCTGACTCTAACATACTCACCAGTGCCTTGCCCTTCCCATCCCTCAGAAACCTTGACTTGCTATAAAGGGTTGTCCAGAGAATTAGCATTCCATTCTCCCACCACCACAAGCTGTCAAGTGTGTTTCAGGAGTGCAGTCACAGAGTCTTTTATGATATAAGTGCAAGATTGTTTGTCAAGGCAACTTTTGTCACCTTGGCCTCCACATCTGGAAGGGCCACAGGGCTGGTGCTGTTGGCCAGTCAAGGTGGTGTCTCAAAGTACCGGTACACTCACAGAGAAGACAGGAGGATGGCACAGAGATACCACTATAGGGTGATACTCTCAGAGGATGAGCATAGCCCTCTAGACATGCCCCACCCCAGCAGCGACCCCAATTTCACAGCACTTCTTATGGGAAAAGTACTGTGTGGCTTTGAGATCATCTCCAAGGAGTTCTTCCCATAGGATAAAGGGCTAGACTGTAGCCAGTGGAACAACAGGAAGAGCAGGTACCAGAGAGTGGTGCCACAATTCAGCCTGCCTGCTTCGTCCAGTCCCTGCAAGTGTCACTTCCAGTGTCCACAGCGACCTCTGCTGGGAGGAAGTTAAAACACGGTGCTATTTGGTAACTAATACACCCCCAGTTTAGGGGCTCAGTGGGCATGGGCATTGTTAGATAAAACCACAAACCTTTTTATTTGGGGACTTCCTGCCTACCTTTGGAGTCCAGAGTTGATGTTCACATCTACAGTTCCTTTAAGCTAAGTCAAGCAGTGAAAGTGCTGCTGTTGGGGCCAGCAGGTTGTTTGATGATTAAGGTGCTGGACCTTAATGCATGTCCAAAACCCGGGAGGAAACTGGAGAAGGGGTTGTGGTGATTTCTCACTTTCCCTCTCACTATCTCCCTCTGTCTTTCTCTGGCAAGCACACATGCCTATGGCAAAAATCTAAAAGAAAGAAAGAAAGGAAAAAAGAAAGAAAGTGCTGCTGTCCTTGCCCCTATATAAATGTTGAAAGAGGGCCTAAAGGTCTTTAAGTTTCCATACAGCTCAGGGTGGATATAAATGATTTTATAATAATTTATGAGGACAATGCATGGAAAACAATAATTTATTAAGTTCAGGGGGGTTTAGGCATTTTTTTCAGTCTCTCTCTTTACCCCTGCTAGTCCCTTCCCTTCTTTTCTCATTCCAGTTTTATCCTCTTCTCTTCCTCATTAGTAAATCAGTCAAGAACTTATTATTTATTTATTTATACAGAGATTTTTGCTACAAGGGGAGTGTGCTTGAGGAGAGACAAAGAGAGACGGAAAGTGAGAAATCCCACCCCAAGGGGGGATGGCCACACCTTAATCCCTTCTCCATTCTCCTCTTAGGATTTTAGGCACACATACACATGTCCGTTGTGACTCTCAAGCTGCCAGGTTAACATCAACTAAGTGGGAGTCCAGCATCATAACCATTATGCCATCTGCTGTTCCCATCTGTTTTAAAGACAAGCTTTCTTGGGCCAGTCAGTGGCATGGTGGTTAAGGTAGCTAGATCCCACAAGGGTGACTGCTTGGTTCAAGTCCTGGACCCAGTAGCTTGAAAAACACACTGATCATATGTGCAAGCCCCAAAATCCCCAAATGAGAAATATCGGGGAAGCGAATAAGGTGTGACTGTCCTTTATGGGGGAAGCTTTCTCTCTCTCTGTCTCATGAGTGCATGTACCCTCTGACAAATTTTAAAAAAGAAAGAAAGAAAAAGGAAAAGAAAAAAGATAGGCCTTCAACAACAGTATGGCCTAAAAAATGCAGACATCTAGAGGCTATTACTAAATGCAAAAAACTGGTGAATATTGGATGTTTCAGGCCTAATGATAGGAGTGGGGGAGATGATGAGACATGCTAAATCCTAAATGCCTACCTGGTGACATGTGTCTCTTCTTCTGGAGTTACTCTGAAGGGATTTCACACAGTCACAAGATCTTTAGAGCTCCTCAAAGGAAAAGAGGTATTTAAATACCTGGCATTGTTCTTACTTTGGCATCCATGTGATTTGCATTGAACTATGTGACTCAGTATCATAAAGTAAAAATAGGACTTAATCTCTTCCTCGCCTGTTCAGAAGGTGACTGTATATGGTGTGTTGTGTTCTGCATTGGAGAGTGAAAAGCCAAATTACCTCATAAATTGAACCACATGCTTATCTTGATTAAAGAATGGTGCTTAACATCACCTGCAGGCAGTAACATTATTTCATGTTTCTTTTAATCCATATCTGAATCTGTCTTAAACATTTCTGCATGCTTTACATTATTACTTTCACTTGAGGTTAATCAAGAATATTTAATCTTTGTACTTAAGCCAAAAGAAATTAAATATCAGCAGATACAGGAAGATGTGGGTGGTGTATTGGGCTTTAAAAAAATTCTTGGAGGGACCAGCAGTTGGTGTAATTGCTATGTCATTGGACTTCCATGTAGTCGACCACAGTTCGAGTCCTGGACCCTGTGGCTTAAACTCATGCTGGGCACGTGTGTGCCCGTGCCCAAGATTCCTAGAGGAAAAGGGATTGTGGCGTGGCCATCCCTCCAGGTGGGGATTTCTCGCTTTCTGTCTCTGTTTCTCTCTGTCTTTCTGGGAAGCGCATGTGCCCTACAGCAAAAACCTCTCAAAAAAAAAAAAAATTCTTGGAGTACATGGGGAAAGGGCCTTGAAATTTGTAAGTCATACGGGTGGAGCTACTACTTTTCAAAGAGAAAGTCCTTAGAAATTTCGAGGAGGACTGTTCATATTGAAGAATCTGAACTTGCATGCAGGTGGCAACAGCATGCAGGGAGACTGCCGGCCCAGGGATTCCTAAATCCCCACAATAATGTAGCCTTTCTGGGAAAATTCCACAAGTTCCTCCCCACTCCCTCAGACAGCCAGCTGAATGCCTAAGGAACGGAGCTGTCCGAGGTACTAGAGCATTGCCCTCACCTGCCTCGTGGGAAGGTAGGACTTCAGGGCACCAAAGCATGAGGTAAGAGCTGTGGGTCATGGCCTCTATGAGGATTTCCCCAAAGCTGATTACAGAACGAAATAGGAGGAAAGAGCTGCAGAGGTTTCTACTG